TATCTCATTTTATTGTGCTCACTGATCTGTGGAGAAACTTTTTTAGCAAAGACTTAATGGAGGTCCTGTGACTTTGTTTCCTCGGTAACCTTTCAGGAGACTGAAGTCTAATTTAAGATCCTGTTTGTGGACTCACCAGCTGCCAGCCAACAGCACTCAGAGTTATAGTCTCTGTCACTTTACTGAGACACACTCAGCCAACTTATCAGTAATCACAATGCAGCATGAATTTAAATGTTATCTTTATGTGACTTGTGACTGTATGGATGATGTGACAATTCATTAAGAGAAGATGCTTTTTGAATTCTGATATGTCAATGTGCTACGCCTCCAAGTCAGTTTGACGATATAAATGAAATGAGCTGAAAGAGAACTTGCAGACATGTTCAGTTTATTAATGCTGAAAGTCAGAGAAACACATGCCCTTGTAAGGTTGGAAGAATATTCATGTTGTAATTAATTTAGATTAATGAAGGTCCAGTAATCTCCATGGCTTCTACATGTTTCTGATTGCTATCACAGATGAAAGGCCTAGGCTGCCCCCTCTTACGCACTTAGCTACAATGTTGTGCTGATGCACATTTCCTTACTCTCTGCATTATTCATGCGGCTGGAGCTCAGATTTAGAGTTGGTCTTGTCCTTGGGCAAGACACTGAACCCCAGCAATGTGTAGGGATGGGTTCTGAATACCGGTACATGATTGGGCCAGTACTAAGACTACCGTTAAGCCCCCCGCCCGGTCTATCGGGGAACAATGTGTCTTGATATTGTATTATTAAGTTAATATTAAGCACCCTGATGAGTTTGGTCTCATTAAAATAATGTTCTCATTTTAACATATCAGCGTTTTACTGTGTGACAGAAAAGCTCTGATGTACTGTTAGACGCTTCACAGATTATTATAGACTATTACACATTAATGGCCTAATTAAAAGGTAGGTAAATGTAACCCAGTGTTACCATTATATTTTTATATATATATATATATATACATTTTTGTGCCTTTATTGTAGAGATATGATAGTGGATAGAGTCGGAAATCAGGGAAAGAAGTCATTTAAGGATACCTTTCCGATAGAACAGGACAGCTGTCATTAAAAGTAACGCATGAACACCAAGATTCCTTCAAGTGTTTGTGTCGGCATCCGTCTGCACACACACTCCATCCCCCCATAGAGGCCATATGCTACCGTCAGAGTTTCTCAGGTTATTTAAACTGTATTAGGAGTGTATGGAAAATTGCATGAACTGCATAGTGTTTCAAATTTAAATACATTAATATTAAATGAAAAATTCTTCCTTGAAATGTGAACCTCAAATGAATGCCCCCTTGGGGCGCGCTAGTGGCGCAATGGTTAGGGCGCGCGCCCCATGCATTGAGGCTGTCGTCTCAAGCGGGCGGCCCGGGTTCGCGTCCTGCCTGTGGCCTCCTTCACGCATGTCATTCCCCACTCTCTCTCCTGGTTTCTGACTCTATCCACTGTCCCATCTCTACATTAAAGGCACAAAAGCCCAAAAATAAATCTTTAGAAAAATGAATGCCCTAAATGTGGTGGAATCTCTAGTTTTATATTTTACGACTTACATGGAGACATCTTTCATGTCATTTGTTTAGTTTTTGTCCCAAATAATAAAGAGTAGTATCGATAAGAGTATTGAGAAGAATCTGTATAGTTGCAGGTATTGATAGAATCCTAATTATACCCATTTCTAGCGGTGTGTGAATGTGTATGGTATGAGTTCATACTGATGTGCACTTTTTATACCAGCCTCCACCATCAAGGTGTAAATGGGTGAATGAATAAAAGCAGCTTTGAGTAATCTAAAAGACTATAAAAGCGCTATACAAGTCGAAGTTCATATACTGTATCGTACTGTTGTACTGTTGTGTTTATCTGCTGATCAAAGTTAGATGAAGGACAACAGGAGAACGTGTTACTGATGGAGTCATTGAAACCAAACACAGCAGTGATTCAAGAAAGATCACAGGTTTGATCCCCACAGCTGCAGGTCTGCCTTAACACCATTATTAAACATAATAATACACTCATGATGTAATTTCTCTCATATTTCATGCTACAATGTGACAGCAAGCTTGATTACCTCTGTGTCTAATATTGTCTGACCCAGTTTTACATGTGAGATGTAGACAGCGGTACTGTGTGAGTGAACTATTTCACTGAATTAGTTTATTACATCATTATATTTGTATGTTTAGCTTTGTTGTGGATTAAACTGATGAAAAAAGATGTTATACAGAAGTTTTTTGAATGGCATATTACAGCATCATGAACACCAAAGGGTGCAACTAATAATGGATTTCACACCAATTATCTGCTGCACATTTTCACGATCAATAACTGTTATTTAATGGAAAATTAAAAAATAATAAACAACATTAATGGGCTCAATATCTGCTGTGAAAATGAACCTGTCTGACAAACCAACCCTTAAAAAGAAGTCACTGCTCTATCATAAACAACAAATGTACATCTAAGCAGCTGAAATTCATTGATGGCATGTTTCTTTAAGCTTCTGTCACAAAACAAATCAGCTGATATTTCAGCTGACTTATACAACTTAAATTTAAGCTTTCTGAGTCTGCAGAGCTTACAGTGTGTTTCTTAGCATTTTTATTTCCCCTGCTTCCTCCTCCCATCTCCACCCAGCCTTCTGGTATATTATCCCCCCCCCCCCCAGGGAGTGATACTTGATGACATCACTCCTTCCTCTGGCCAGATGTTTAAACTTAAACACTCTATCCATCAGCCTGGAGGAAGTTGCACAGCAGACAGAGGCGATGACCCAGCAAAGAAATCCCTTATATACAGGCTCATACACACACAACCACACACACAGATTTTGAAAACTAACAACTGTTCAAAGCTCAAACCAGAAAAGCAGGCGACTGATGTGATGTGAAGCCAAAAGCTGTAGTAGTGAGACTGAATCTGTAAAATGCTTTTCTCCACTTCTGCCTCAGAGCTTTAGACTTTAACACTATCCCTCCAGAGCATGGTGAACCGGCATTATTCGGATGAAATGCAGTCGGTCATGTTGCTCTACACAAGTTTTAAATCACATTTGTTTCACTGCAACCCATTTCCTCCGTTCACAGGAGTCGACATTTATTCCACATTTGCACTTGTTCTGTTTTTTTTTCTGTGTTTTCAGTTGATAGAGTTAGAATATCTTTTAGATAAACACAGCACTTATGGTTTAAAAAACTGTTGGCCTTGAATTTGAACTGAAATACCAACGTTTGCTGAAGCTGAGAGGTATTTCCCTATCAGCTGTTCTGTAGTGTTTCACTCTTTCTTTGTGTTATGGGAACGCTCACTCATGCTTCTCACTGAAAGGCCGCCTCTTTTGATGAAGACTGCAGCTGTGTATTGGTGACAGAGTTGGCGTTACAATTTAAGTGATCAATTTATTTCACTCGCCGCAGTATTGACAGTCATCTTCAAAGAAGTGAGACGGATGAGTGCTGAGTTTCAATCGACATAAAACAGAAAACCTATTTGGATTTGGATGTTCTGCATAAATCAAACAGATCTCTCTCTGACAGCTTTAAATGTATTTTAAGGCTTTATTTTTCAGACTGTGTTGTCTGATATTCAGCACGGCCTTTGCCTCCGCTCTGAGACTGCTTGTTCTCCTTTTAGACATGTTTATTCAGTTTCTCTTTAAATGTAGAAAATCCCTGATAACTGAGGACATACGGCGGATACTGTTACAGTGTTAATACCTATACAGGATAAGAGAGTGTGTGTGTGAGTCTGAGAGACAGAAAAAGTTTTTTTTTCAAACATAAGCACCAGCTTGAAAGCCCCATTGTGTTTCCTTAAACTTATAAGATTAATAGATTTCAATATTATTATTTCTCTTACTCTCTTACATTACTTTACTTTCCTATTTTTCTTAATTTGTTTAAGTAATTATCCTCTTTGAAACTAAAGATCATTCTTTGCTTTCCTTTAAACCAATAACAAAGATGAAGTTGATAGAAATCTGTCATGCCTTTAGATCCAGTATTACATGAAAACCAAAACATGCAATACACACCTTGAAAATGTTTTCTTAAGAAGCAGTGTCAAGACATGAAGTAAGACTCTTTTTTTAGATGCTATTTTAAGTGGGTTTTACAACAGTAAACAGTTTTAATCGATAGTGACATTGTTGATTTTCAGAGCACTGTCTGACTTTGTGCCTAACTGATTGGTGTCCTGTGGACCTCTGATAGAGCCACATTAATGTGGAGCAAATCTATTCCGTTCAATGGAAGAGAAAACAAATCTGTGCACGAAGAAGTGTCATGAATTTTTCATGACTGTAGACAGATTCTCCCCAGCACTCTGCTCTGGATCATAAACAAACACACATTTCAATTCTTTAAGAGAGTATAAGAGCAATTTATTAAGCTGAAAAACAGAAGGGACGTTTATTACCGGTATTTACTTAGGACTCAGAAACAACGTCCACATTATTTTTGTTTTTATTACTCTGGATATAAATGTTGCTGTTTTCTTGTGTTCATGATAGGGCTGAATCATATTGGCAAAGACTAGCATTGCAATATATATTTTTTTTATGTGATTTATATTGTAATTAAAACAAAAAAATCAGTTACAATTTATTTTAATAATTGTGGTTTTTATTATTTTTTTGTGAATCTACATCAGTAGAGTACCTTTGTCTTCTTTGAATTGGTAATATTCACTTGATCTTCAGATGTTGTAACATTTTGTGGAATATTAAAGAAATCCTCACAGGATTTTGTTTCTATATTTAGTATTAGACTGTATTTAATCGTAACCATTCATGAGGTATTCACTTAGTATTCACTAAATAAAGCCTGCAGTGTTTGGACATTAAAGGCACTGTCGCACTCAGAGCTCATGTTGCTCATCCCTTTTGATGTTTCAGTGTTTTTCCATCTCTGGTCAGCAGCCATCACTTCATTCACTTTAATCAGGCCTTCTATGTTTGTGTCTTCCAGGACTCAACCCTCTGCCCTTTGATGCAGCAACCAACAACGACCCTCTCCAGTTTAACGGCTCCAGCGGGCCTCTGATGACTGAGTGTCCTCCTCTGGAAAACACTGCAGAAAACGGCAAGAAGAGGAAGAGAGCCAGCCTGCCTCCAGGTACTCACAACAAACACAAGTATTTCACATCTGCTGCAGGATTACTGAGGGTCCCAAATCTTCAGCGTTTTGCCCTCAGCTGTGTCCAATTCTAAATACACGCGCCTGTACTGCCGACAGAAAAGCTGTGATACAACCTTGAGATACCTCCTACTCTTCCTCTACCATTTCTCTGGGTGTCAATATGGAGAAAAAAAACGTAGCTTGGTTCAGTCTTTGTTGTTTTAGATTAGCTTGCCATGTCCTGGGGCTCTGCTTGTTTGTCCTGTTTGGAGGTCGGGCAGCTGCAAGAAGACTGTCTGTTACCGTGCCAACAGCACCTGCCAATCAAACTTGCATCAGCTTCCTGACACACAAACACTGACCTGTCTCACTAAGATGGGCACTCTGAGAGAAAGCTTTTTGTGCATGTGTGTGTTGATTTGTTTGTCATTTGAGTGAGAGCTTGTGCTGGTAATGAGTCAAATCAAAGAAGGACCTTTCTAATTAAATAATGAAAAGGGGCTGACTAATGAATTCCTTTATGAGTAATAGAAAGAGAAGACCACTTCAGATAGAGAGGTGTTGTTTTCATGTTTTCTGCATTCATAGCAATGCTAATTTGACTGGTAAAAGCACCGCATTAACACAGCCAAATGATCTCTCCCTCAATATCTTCACATACAAGTCATGTCTTGATGAAATTACATTTCAAATGAGAAGGTAAACATGTCAGAACAGCACATTAAATGAAGATGACAAAAGAACACTGAAAAATGTTGATTTCATTTTGTTTGAAGTGTTGAGGGAAATAAGATGCTATTGTTTTAATACATTTATTGTATTGATGTGAGGGGCAGGAGTACTTGATTAAATATTCTGAAAACAAATGAAGTATTTTGCTGTATTGATATTTTGATATTTTCAACGATTCTGGGAGATCATAGAATGCTGGCATCGAAAGGCTGCCAGCAAAACCAGTCCAGACAGGGTCCCCATGGAGCCACAAGATAATACTCCCTCTCAAAGAGTGAAGGAAGGCCAGGGGCAAAACCAGCAAAGAGAGGTCCCCATCAAGCCACAAGCTAATGTCTGAAGAATCGACTAAATCACAAAGACTTTCCACCGCTATTGGTCTGACTCATGATCGTCTCCTGTCTCTGTCAGGTCCCCCAGCCTTTCAATGCAGCACCGACTCATTAAGAGCCATGTTGATTGAGTCTCATTAAGAGACCCTGCTGGATAGATTTGTCTCATTACCATTGCTATAACTCTCCTTAATCCATCATGCATGTGTGCAGTCATCCGTAACAACACATCAACTTTTATTTCAACTATCCTCACACGTTTTATTTCATTTACTGATAAAGAATTTTTGAAGGCGACAAACAAACTGTCTGTTGGATGTCACCAGAGAGTCCTTTCATACTTAATGCCACCCTGCTGACTGATGATTTAATAATGATCTTTAAACTGCCAAACCAAGACCCAAACAACAAGAAGACAGATAAAATATTAAAAGCCCACCATCTCCTGTAAACAGTAACAGGAAACATTTGCAAGTTAAATTCATATTCTGTTCACTCTCCTCAAAACAGACACTATTCATCAGAGTCCACTCACTTCACACTCAGACGCATTCCATGTTTTTATCTATTGTGAGTGAAACCGCTTCAGGGAAATCAAATTCATTCAAAATCAAGTCAGGAAATTTTCATTTTATTGTGACTGTTCTTTAAAAATACATTCTAAAATTATCACTATTGTGCTTCTCTTTTGTGGACGCAGTAACATGACCGAACAGTTCAACAGTTTCACAACACAGTCAGAGAGAACATATCCCCTCATGCGTTGCTGTGTTGAAACTGTGCGTGGTGAAGACTGTGAGATTTTGAAATGCTGCTGTTTGTTAATGTTGAGCAGCATTGCCTCACTTAACATTATCAAAGCAGATTTATTTTATATTCATTCCAGGATTTCTGACATTGAGTTCCACTGCAGTCTTCTCTTTCCCTGCCTGTGTTGGTGCATATTCTGGCTTTTTCCCACTGCATGTACACCAGTAGAATAGTGTGAAACCATCACAAGAGGCATGAATCCTTTTTGTAGCAAAGGTCCTATCAGCTTTGATAATGAGGTTTATTTTCTGAGTTTAGTTTTAGCGTATGAAGCGGTTGTCCTCTTGCCGATCCAATCTGCTGTGCCGTGAACTTAAGTAGGCGTTAAGAGAGAGGTGTTGAACAAAATGTTTGTGATTCTTCGGGGAAAAGGTGAATTTCTCTCACCATAAAATAATAAAGATACATTGTGTGTGTATTCAGGGAGCAGCAGTATTTTACACCCATATTGACATTTTGACATGACATGGAATAGCATGGATCTATAACTTTCTGTTGTGTGCATATGTGTGAACAGACCTATTTGCATCTGAATCCACAGTCTTGTGTTTTCAAGCTTGAGTTTAAAGATTATCCAGCCCTTTACTCTTGAGCCTCCATAGCCTGACAAGAGTTTGGATGTATCTCAGAAATATCCAATTGAAAATGAATGATACTGAAGAGCTCAAGGGGAAAAGTATAACTAGGCTGCATTACAACTCTAAATTGAGCACATATTTATTATACTTTACCTTAAATGTGAAATTTCTTATATCTACCTCTCAAAAGCTGAAAGAAGAAATTAAATAGTTGCTACTATTTCCAAACTTCTGAAATCCTGCTAGTGCTGCATGGTGGTGCAATGGTTAGCACTGTTGCATCAAGTAGTGTAGTTCATGTCTTAAATTATGTATTTATTTGTCTGTTAGACTGTCCTTAAATCGAATAATTTAACTTTTGATGTTGTGAAAAGCTAACAAAATGATCTGATGTTAATAGAGTTTGGAAGCAATTTAGTTATATATTTGTTTTTTTTTTAACTACTTAATAGATTTATTAACTCTGAAATTGTAGATTAATTTCCCATCAACTAAACATTCCATAAACAATCTAATACGTAAGATGATATATTGAGACTGAAATAAGACTGCTTTGTCTTAATCATACCAGATGATTAGAGCAAATTAAGCTGGGCTTCATCTTCCCTATCCCAGACCCTTTCCCCATTTTTCCCTCTCATTCTTCTTAGCCGTGCTCTTTCGCTCCCAGTCACTCCTCTGTGTCCTGTGGTGGTCAGGGATTTAGTGCCGCTTCACCCCATCTTGCAAAGCCCACAATCATGTGAGCTCTAAATAATTCAGGGTGCCAGAAGGCGCTCTGCTCTGCTCTGTCTGTAGACTCACACTGAGGTTAATGGCAGAGCCTCCAGCAAAAGTTGAGCCCTGAAATGTTCAAAATAGAAAACCAAAATCTTCTCCTGGCTCTCAGTTTTGTACTTTATCAAAACAAACAGGGTTGGGTTGTTTAGCACACAGCTGTCCGCCTATTATTACCTTTGACCATTATCAGTGTAGGAACACAAACAATTAGCCTTTAGATGAGCTGTTCTCTGCTGCCTCAGGGATAAACCTGTTCAAGGAAAACTACAGCCAGATTAATTGTCTTCTGGCAGAGGTTTTTTAAATTGATTTTCTCTACTATTCTCATCTTACTTTTAGTTATTATCTCTGCTACTTTTTAATCAGCATTTTGCCTGTGGTTGTTGTTTCAACAAACACTACACTAAATGAGATATTCTTATGATTCTTTTTTTCTTTATTGCTTCAATAAAAGCAAAACATGTAGTTCACTTTTCCATTAAAACTTTGAAACACACCATCTGTTATTCTAACTTTACCTGAAAAGGTTTTAAGGGTCGATATCACTCCAAAGTATTTAATTATAAAAACTTTTTTTTGGAACTTCCACAGCTCCTGAAAACGTTTTTAAAATACAGAGATCTGTTTGACAGCAAAGGGTCTTGGGAGTTTGTCTGTAACAAAGAGGTGACATTTCATTAGCAATACTCTGAAATTTTTTTGTTGGTTAATCAGAAAATAATTAACAGATAACTAATAACAAAATTTGTCAACATTTTCCTACCTAATAGGTACCCAAAGCTGCATTCATGACCCAAAACGTGCATACGGCTGAGTATTATGTAAGATATATTTAACATGTTTTCTCTAACATGTCCTTTTCTGCGTATTCTCATAATCTCTGTAAATCTGTAAAAGACAATTGTAATCTCCGATGCACCTGCTTTCTATCTCAGCCCTCCGACCCCCCCTTTCTTATAGTTGCAATTAAAGCTGCTATTTCGTTTTGTCGAGGGCATGTTCTGTAATAGAGAAGACTGGTTCAATACGCATGGGCCCAGAGGGTTTAATTACAAATGTAAAGTCTGTTATAGAGGCTTTTTATCTGCAGTGATTTTCATCAAGCCACCAGCGACTGTCAGATTTCTACATGTCTGAGAAGTCGGTAGGTCGGCTTACCTGATGAATTATTCATGGGATCTAGTTTCTCCCACAAATGAATCAAAATTTAGTTTCAACTAACCTCCGGTGTTATTTAAGTTATTTAGAATTGTACAAGTACACTGTTGGAAACATTGCATTACTATACGTCTTCCCTCTGCTATAGTTGGAGATAGAAAGGTTGAGGTGATATAACATGACTGAATTATACAGGATGTGACATGCTTTGCTCTATTACATACACACAAAGCTTTAGTGGAGATTTTTAAATATTAAAATCACTTATATGCGGAAGCCAAACATAAGAAGATAGGACTTAAACATCAACCACCCTGCTTGTTTGTCCTTTCTCCTGTGCTCCTTCACATCACGTTTCTTCTTGAGAATCTGAAGAAATGTCCCTGTTTTCATACAACACTCTGTACATAGCAGCATGTTCATCATACAGACCCTGCAGCTGCTGTATCACCACATCCTCCATCCTTCCCTCCCTCCCTCCCTGTCCGTTTGTCTCCTCTCTGTCAGCTTTCAGCCGGGTTAACTGATCCTCACCAGCTGCCTCTCTCTGCCTGTAGAATGTAGAAAACAGTAGCGGTGTTATTATACCACCATCATTTTCCTGGCT